CGTCATATGTAAATGGTGCTCGTGATGTCATTATAATGATGACGTGATATGTCATAACAATTGCTGACAAGAATGATGAGCGCTTTTATAGCTCCTGACAGAATGTAAATTATTGTATACATTTATTCTATGATACCTGTCTAACTTAGTGGCGGTTCTCTGTATAGGCGGCGGTTCTCTGTTCTCTGTATANAAGGTGGCGGTTCTCTGTTCACTGTATAGGTGGCGGTTCTCTGTTCTCTGTATAGGTTGCGGTTCTCTGTATAGGCGGCGGTTCTCTGTTCTCTGTATAGGTGGCGGTTCTCTGTATAGGTGGCGGTTTTCTGTATAGGTGGCGGTTCTCTGTATAGGTGGCGGTTCTGTGTATAGGTGGCGGNCTCTGTTCTCTGTATATTTTGCGGTTCTCTGTATAGGTGGCAGTTCTCTGTTTTCTGTATAGGTGGCGGTTCTCTGTATACGTGGCGGTTCTCTGTATAGGTGGCGGTTTTCTGTATAGGTGGCGGTTCTCTGTATACGTGGCGGTTCTCTGTATAGGTGGCGGTTTTCTGTATAGGTGGCGGTTCTCTGTTTTCTGTATATGTGGCGGTTCGTTGTATAGGTGGCGGTTTTCTGTATATTTTGCGGTTCTCTGTATAGTTGGCGGTTTTCTGTATTGGTGGCGGTTTTCTGTTCTCTGTATAGGTGGCGGTTCTCTGTTCTCTGTATAGGTTGCGGTTCTCTGTATAGGCGGAGGTTTTCTGTATAGGTGGCGGTTCTCTGTATAGGTGGCAGTTTTCTGTTCTTGCGGTTCTCTGTATAGTTGGCGGTTTTCTGTAATGGTGGCGGTTTTCTGTTCTCTGTATAGGTGGCGGTTCTCTGTTCTCTGTATAGGTGGCAGTTCTCTGTTTTCTGTATAGGTGGCGGTTCTCTGTATATTATGCGGTTCTCTGTATAGGTGGCGGTTTTCTGTATTGTTGGCGGTCCTCTGTTCTCTGTATAAGTGGCGGTTCTCTGTTCTCTGTATAAGT